CCTGCAGACAGGCTCCAGTTTCTCATTCCCTCACTGGACCCCACAGCCAGGGAGGTGTACAGCCAACTGAAAGGGGCGGAGACAGGGGACTACGAACTGTTCAGAAAGACCCTGCTCCGCGAGTTTGGGCTGACCCCTGAGATGTACCGGCAAAGGTTCCGGAGTCAGCGTAAAACCCGTGAGGTCACATACCTACAACTGGCCAACCGGGCGCAGGGGTATGCCCGCAAGTGGACAGCTGGGGCCCAAACTAAAGAAGACCTGCTTGACCTGGTCGTACTGGAGCACGTATATGAGCAGTGCCCATCCGACCTGAGCCAATGGTTGATGGACCAAAAGCCAGAGAACCCGCAGCACGCAGGCCAGTTGGCCGATGAGTTTGTGAACAGTCGGGCAGGGGATGACAGGGAGGAGTCCCAAAGGAACAGTCCCACCACAATGCAGAGAGAGGGTCACCATGGGACCTCCCAGCGGGGAAACAGGAGAACACCCCCCAAGGGGAACACCCAGCGTCAGGGCCATCCAACCCGCTCGAGGGGACCCACGGGACATGGGCTGCTATTACTGTGGCCAGAGAGGCCAAATACGGACCCAGTGCCCCAGGCTCAGGGACAGACTGAGCAGACCGAACCCACTGAGGGTTAACTGGGTAGAGACCCAGCCGGACGAGGGGAAGACGGCCCAGGCAAGGGGGGCTGACAGCTTCCCAACGGCTCAGGAGGGAGGAGGGCCCCAGGCCAGCTCCTCTGGGGGGCTGGATGCTCCGAACACCAGGTTCTCCGTTTACAGGGTGGGCGCGGGGCGGTCCCTGCGGAACGAGTGTCTTGTTCTCCTGGAGGTGGATGGGAGGAAGGTCAATGGACACTGGGATTCGGGTGCGGAGGTGACACTGGCCCGGCCCGAGGTGGTGACCCCAGATCGGATGGTGCCCAACACCTTCCTGACCCTGATGGGGGTGGGCGGGACCGCATTCAAGGTGCCTGTGGTGAGGGTACATCTGAAATGGGGGGCCAAGGAGGGCCCCAAGGACGTGGGGGTGCACCACCATTTGCCCATTGAGGTGTTAATGGGGGGGACCTGGAAGACTGGCCAAGCAACCACCAGGGCGCCCTGGTTGTGACCCATAGCCAGAGCCGGCGAGGGGCACTGCACCCTGACCTCGGGGAGGGTACCTTGCCCTAGGCACAGGACCCTACCCTGGTGGGGAGGGAGCGCCCAGGGACACGGCTCAGGGAGGCTGCGGCTTCAGACCTAGCCGGTGAGAGCGAGCAGGTGGCCATCCCTGTCCCAGCTGCTGAGTTCCAGGCCGAGTTGCAGAAAGATCCCTCCTTGCGGAAGATAAGGGGCCTGGCCGACCTCAGTGCGGTACAGACCATGGGGAGAGGTGGCCGGAAAAGCTTCCTGTGGGAGAAGGGGTTCCTGTACCGAGAATGGGCTCCCCCAGGGAAAATGGGGTCGGGGGGATCAGGAGGCAGCTGGTGGTACCCCAGAAGTATCGCCGCCAGCTGCTGTACTGGGCCCATGACACCCCACTCTCAGGGCACCAGGGAATCCGGTGCACCCGGCAGAGGCTGCTACAGAACTTTTACTGGCCTGGGGTCTTTATTACTGTACAACAGTACTGGAGCGCTGGGAAAAGACCCAGTCCCAGTTTGAACCCCAGGGGTACTGGGGTGGGAAAAGGGCACGGGCTGCATAAACCTTCCCACATGCAGACTACGAGTGCCATCAAGCACACTCGACCTCAGGGAGGGCGTGAAACTGGAAGGGCCTGGGGTAACTCCCACCAAGGAATGAGAGGGATAATGGGGCATCCACGGGAACGGGGGTAGGTTCGAACTTCTCCAGGTCACTGGCTAAAGTGACCTCACTCAGTTCAGTCTCGAAGGGGGGAGAGATGTGACGAAGTGGGACTGTTCTAAATGTTTTCTTTGAATACTGGGGTGGGTGCTGTGAAGCAGCAGGGAGTGGGGAGTATTGACCTGGGAAGGTTGCAGGGGAGTTTTCCTGGGACTGTCTGCATTGGGGATGGGAGACTTTCCTTGAGGGAAGATACCTGAGCACGTAACATGAGAATCCAGGAGGAGTGTTGGAGCCAGGAGACACATTTGCCTGGGAATCTGGACAAAGGCTGGGGGAGGAGACGGGGGGAGGGGGAGTGAGACGGCTGGAGGGAGTTTCAGTTGGGAGCTGGCTGGGAAAATAGAGGGGAGCCCAGATGGGGCTCTGGCCTCCCTGGCCACCCAAGATGGACCTGACTGAGGGATCCTGTTGTCTGTCCCTGCAAGACTTGTCTTGGACTGTGTACCTGTTGTCTAAATAAACCTTATGCTTTACTGGCTGGCTGAGAGTCATGGTGGATCACAGGAAGCCGGGGGTGCAGGGCCTTGTCGCCCCCAAACTCCATGACACCATCCATCCACCCACACCCTCTATCCATCCATTCACCCATCCATCCCCATACACAGCTATCCTTCCATCCGTTCCAACACACACTCATCCATCCACCCATCCACACACACCCTCTATCCATTCACCCACCAACACCCCTGTCCAGCCATGTAAACACTCAACCTTCTCTCTCTCTCCATCTGTTGAATGGCCATAGACAGGTCATGGAAGCTGGAGACTGGAAGCTTCATCCCAGGAAGGTCCCAGTCTAGTGGCCAGCATCCCTGCCACACTGCAAAGCAAAGGGGGTGGGATGGGAAGGAGCCGCACTCGTAGACGCAGCTGCTGACCTGTGGTGGCGTCAGTGGAGACGGGGCCGAGGCGCTTGCGGCCGGAGACGCCGTAGAGGTTGAACTTGTATCTGCGGGAAGGGGCCAGGTTGGTTACAGTGACTGTGCGGGATCCCCCGTCCACGGGCAGCGCCTGGGGTTTGCCCTTCGCGTCCTTGTACTGGAGGAGGAAGGAGTCAAAGGTCCCCTGCTCCACGGTCCAGGAGAGCAGGATGGAGTCGTGGGTGATGTCGGAGGCCGAGAGCTCCCCCAGGCTGGGCTGGGCGGTGGGTACCTCCTCCGTCGGCGCCGCAGCTGGAACAGAGAGAGGGGGGTGAAGGGTATGGCCAGCAGGAGCAGCTTTCCGGGTCCTTGGGGGGCCGGATTATTGCCATCCAGATGAATTAGCGGGAGAGGGGGCAGGGAGCCCCAGGGACTGGCCCCAGGACACAGCCGGATCCTGACCCTGGAAAGGAGAGCTGGGGACAGACAGACGGACGGGGCATGTCTGCAAAGAGGATCCCACATTCCTGGGTTCCCCGCAGCCACCCTGCCTCCACGGAGGGGTCGGCCCAGAGTGACGGGCACAAACCACGGGCAGAGCTGAGCTGAGACGGGAGGAGAGGGGGGAAGGAAGAGCAAATGAGAGAAAAAGAGAAGGGGGTGAAACCAAAACCACCACCATCAATGAAAAGATCCCCATTGACCACCGTCCACCCCCAGACACTCCTCCATCCATCCATCGCGATACCATACGTCCATCCATCCATGCATCTATCACCCACCCAGCCCTTCTTGTTCACAATGTGACCTAGCCACAGAGTTACACATACACATCTATAAATCAATCCCCCCAAACACCCATCCATTCCCACACACATCCCCCCACCCTACTGTCTGTACGTCCATCCATCCACCAGTCTGCCCTTCTGTCCATCCCCATACACATCCATCCACCTTACCGTCTGTACGTCCATCCATCCATCCCCACACACACCCACCCACCCTACCGTCTGTACGTCCATCCATCCATCCCCACACACACCCACCCACCCTACCGTCTGTACGTCCATCCATCCATCCCCACACCCACCCACCCACCCTACCGTCTGTACGTCCATCCATCCATCCCCACACACACCCACCCACCCTACTGTCTGTACATCCATCCATCCACCAGTCTGCCCTTCTGTCCATCCCCATACACATCCATCCACCCTACCGTCTGTACGTCCATCCATCCATCCCCACACACACACACCCACCCTACCGTCTGTACGTCCATCCATCCATCCCCATACACATCCACCCACCCTACTGTCTGTACGTCCATCCATCCACCAGTCTGCCCTTCTGTCCATCCCCATACCCATCCATCCACCTTACCGTCTGTACGTCCATCCATCCATCCCCACACACACCCACCCACCCTACCGTCTGTACGTCCATCCATCCATCCCCACACACATCCACCCACCCTACCGTCTGTACGTCCATCCATCCATCCCC